TCTCCCAGTCCCCGCCTTTGCCTTCTGCAGTTTGGGCGGTGAGGCCTGAGCACTTGCCGGTGAAGACCGAGGCAAAAAAGTAATTGAGTACCTCCGCCTTCTCCGTGTCCTGGGTAACCAGGTCTCCCATGTCATTCCAGAGAGGGCCCACATTCTCCCCTATCTTCCTTTTATCCCCGATGCACCTAAAGAATCTTCTCTTGTTGCCCTTGATGTCCCTGGCCAGATTTAATTCTCTCAGGGCTTTAGCTTTTCTAACCTGATCCCTGGCTGCTTGGACAATTTCTCTGTATTCCTGTACATGTATATATGTATAAAATGGGATTAATGGTACTTCCATCCTGTACACAAATCTAGCACAGAGTACAAGAGGGCCACATATTACCACCAAATGGATGAAGCACCTAGATGCACTGTCACTGCCTGCAAATGTTCCTGTTTCATCTGCTCCAGAGAAGGCAGCCAAAGTCACCTTGCAGTATTACGTCTGCCTGCTGCAGGGATCTCCTCTACCTTCCTCTGAAATATCTGGCAGAGACCAAGCTACCTGAACCTGATCTTACCTTGCAGGTCCTTGTTAATTATAGCCTAAGGAAAGGTAGTTTTGCCAGAGGCATCCATTTCAGGGCTTCGTCAGGAGCCCAGCTCCCTGTACAGTCACACTCTCTTGGGGCCCAGGGTCCAGGTTTGGTATGTAAGTAGGATACCTGAAGTTAGACAGTGCAACACTGCTTTAAATAGCTGCTGCATTTTCCCAGTGTGCTTAAATCATACTGTTTTGGGGAGCCAGGGTTGTATGTGTGCATATGCCTGTTTGTCCATTTTAGTATTATCTAGCATGCTTTCACGAATCTAAAAGCACTTCTGTCAACAGCTGTTGTTTCATCCTGTGGTGACTCCAAAGGTACCCACAATGATGCACGGCGCAGCAGGGGCCTGGCCGAATGGAGCAGAGAGCCATCTCCCCCATTCAGCTCAGCCTTCATGACCTGGTAACAGAGGAGGGCCAGAAAGGTATTTGTGCCCTCACAAACCTTTGGCACCAGATGGTGCTGATATGGGACAGAGAACTAGGATAAGCTGAATTCAGGTCTATTTTATCCAAATCCTCAAAGGCTAGTCGTGTTTGGATTTGACAGCAATTGCTTAGGCCCCATAGGAAGTGTCTTGCATGGGTGCACACATGATCACGGTTTGGTTACTTGCTAGAAGCAGGTATTGCACCTCTGAAGCTTGCCTGGGAGATGCCCTCACCTACCCCAGGGTGGCATAGCTCAGGTTGCTCCCATTGTGTAACTGATTTAATGGAGAAATCACTGGTTCCTCCTCTGCTCTTGTCATTTGTTCCTCTGTTCACATGTGCTTTTGTGTCATTCTAGGTGCTATCCCTGTTCCCGTGAACATGCACGAAGCCAGTGTCTATACTTACTGCCTGTGCATAGGCGCCATACGCTCCAAACTGGATGGCCATGGGGTTGAACATGCCCATTTGTCCTGCCATTTGCTGCATGCGTCTCATTGTACGCTCCTTGTCTGTATCTGCAAACTTCACCACCAGGCTTGAAGAGGCTCCCTGCAGGACAGGAAACAAAAGGAAATACATGAGGGAAATAGCCAGGTACACACTGGCTCATGCAATCCATACATCTAACACTGATTTGGTAGCATGGGATCCAGCTGATGCTGATTTATCCCATGCAACCTCTCAAGCCTTTTGAATTGGACATTTGCAAGAGGCTGAGAGCATCAGGAAGGAAGGAAAGCACCCTGGAGGGTGAATGACTGAGGCCAGCAGCCCAGTTCCTAGTTTCCTCCAAAATTCAAACTTCCAGGCTGTCACTAATGTTCTCTTTGCAAAAGTTGTTGCCTTATTCTTTCAACATATAGAAAACCTTTTGGCCCAACAGGTTGTCCTCATCAGAGGACAAAGATCTGCACTCAGTGCAGCAAAATGTAGGAGCCTTTGCTGGATGAACGTGGTAGGATTTGTGAACTGATTTATTTTGATAGAATCTGTTAACTCTGTGCATGCCAGCCCCCCTGAGCTGCATCACCCTTTCACACTGCCTTGTCTTGTAATCCCCATGTCCAGCGAGAAATCCATGCCCAGCCTTGGAGACAGGATTCAGTATGCTGAGCAGAGTGTATGTCTCATCACGAAGCAGCACCTCTTCAGCACTGTTAAACTAGGGGAGCAAAAATAGTGCCTGATGGACCTGAGTTTCCTCTCCATGAACAGTAGGAAATAGAAGCTACCACAAAAGAGCACACATTTAATGTTACACTCTTCCAGGAAAGCTTTACAATGTTTGGGCTATGTCTGCAGTCAGCACTGGTGCAGAACTACAGATGATCATCAGAGCTGGCTGCAGAAGTCTGTGAAAAATATAGAGCTTTTGGGAATGAAAAAAATCCCTCTCCTCCCCAAAATGAGATGAAAGGTCAGTAACTGTGATTCTTAAATTTCTGATAGGAGGCAGAGATGGGAAGAAATAGATCTGCTTAGGAAGGAAGGCACTGATGTATTTTTGGCTGGCTCCAAGGACGTCCTAACTTCATGGGTTGGTTGATTCCCCACAGCGTGGTCTCCCCAAGGGAAGAGGGGTGCAGTGGAGGGGGGATCCAGCAGCAGCCCCGACAGCAGGCAGACAGTTGCCTCGGGAGCTGGGCTGCCACTGAGCCTGGGGAGATGGGCAGGTGAGCTGTCAGGAGACTGACAAAGAGCAGCTAAAATCATCACGCTCCCATGGTACGCTTCCCTTTTGACACACTGGTATTCGTTGATGGAAATACAGTCAGTGGGGAAATTGCCAGCTCAGCCTCTGGCTGCAGCAGTAGAGGTAGACCAGCTCTGTGCCAGAGGAGCTGGGCTCTTGCGGGGCCCTCATTTTTCTAGTAGAGGTGGGATTGCCTGGGATTTGCATAGGGGCAGTGTTATTAACTGGCTTACACACCCCTGTGTACCTGTAACCAGAAAAAAATAGTCTCGGTGAAGGCAAAGTTGTTCTGCTACAAATTGGGAATAGTGTAGTGAACCACAACTATGGACGTACATATGCGTAAGTCCAAGCTATGCATATTCAATAGCCTCTCCAGATCCTCAGTAATGAATAAAGACTTGCGGAATTAACATGCTAAAAAAAAAAAAACAATCTAAGGCCACACAATGAGCGATGTTCCCCTGGATTAGCAGCCTGTTCTGGGAGGAAGTGATTTTCATTGGCAAAGGATCTTTCTTTTTGACCTGTTAGTCTCTCTTTAATAAATCTATAACCCACTCAAACAATGTGGTGAAGAGCAAGAGGTTGAAAGAAGTGCTTCAGGAAAACAAAGGTATGGAGAGATGAATGCTCTATTCAAGGGTGGAGAGCAGTTTTCAGAAGTTATTATAAGAGCTAAACAGAAAGGGGTGGGTGGGGTGGGGGATGGAAGAAAAAAAAACCTAGCCAAAATTCCCCTGTATTTCTGCTCAAGGCTGGGCAACTTTTCATTTTTTTAAATCACATGATGTAGTTATTGATCTTTCCCCAAATCACACTCTTAATTGCAGCTCATTGACAAATGAATATTTTAATGCATACATTTCCTGCTAATTATCACCTGGACTAGTCCTTAATTAGATTTCAACACTCATTTAATTAACCCTGATCCAAGAGACTGTTTGGTAACCTGTTTCTAATGATTTAAACCTATTTGCAGCTGTATTGGAGGGAGGCACTGGTTCACAGCAGATTGGGCTGTTCAGAGCTGCTGTCGTGATTTGCAGAGCAGAGGCTGCAGCGTGGTGGGCACAATGCAGCATGGAGGATTTTGAAACTGAATATGGTGAATGAGTATTTATCTCTGCAAATGGGTTTTGAAGATGTGACCTGTTCTAGTTAACAGGACAGAGAAGTGTAAATAAGTTGGTGCCTTCTTCCTTCCCCTTTCTCTCTCTATTTGCCCTGGAAGTCTTAGGGCCAGAGAACTGCCTCAGGAAATTGCTGATGCCTCACGCTGTTGAAAACCAAGCTATTATTGTAGATGGCATCATGAAAACATGGGTAACCTCCACATGAAGTTCTTGCCCCTGGAGTGTTCTTCCCTCCTGATGTGAGTCGTAGTGACTGCACAGCAGCCATTTGACCCAATGGGATCTAAGACTGCCTCTTATGAGATGTTTTTCTGGGTTGCCTGTCACAGCAGGACTTCAGGCCTCTTTGAACATCACTATTGTATACCCAGGGCAGAAAGGCCATTGACAAATAGAAGCAAGTTAGAGCACACACTACAAAGAAAGAGGAGAAAAAGGAGGGTTTTTTAAGAGCGCTCTGCAATGAGATGCACATGTAAGCAGTTGAAGATATGTAGCCAGTAGAGATGCTGCATTGCTTTTGAATATGAAGATTGACCTTGGGATTGATGCTTTCTGTATGTGGTTCCTCATATGCAGCCCTTTCACATGGCCCAAAGGAAATCAGGCAGTAAACTCCATCAGATCACACAGTGCAGGATTTTTAGCAGAGGAGCCACCCAGTGCTGTTCATCTACAAGCAGCACAAGACTACTTTCTACTCCAGTGACTCCTACTAACCCACTGGGTAACATTAGAAATGCCACAGAATGGGCCAGATTTTCCATGGGGTAAAAACTGCAGAGCCCTTCATCTGGACTATTTATTGCTTCCACAAGCAGTTAAACCATGGTGTAAATCAGCCGTTGTCTGCTGACAAAGGCAATAGGTCCTGTCTGCTAGGTCATTTATTAGTAATACATAATCTCCCCCTTGCTCTCTCCAGGTGTTGGACTGGACCTTATATTTTGCCAACCCCCAAGAGAGTTACAATGGGTAAGTCAATAATGTTTGAAATGTACTTTGAGATCTGTGTGTTAATTCTGCATTTTACCGAGGGAAGGACCCGTTTATTTTTCTACCCTGCAGATCCACAGTCAAAAGAGACTATCATGAAAGTGAACATTCCTGCTTGCGCCTCTGCAATAGGCTACTTGGAATTGGCATTTATCTCCTTTCCCATCAAATCAACCTCCTTTTTCAAGTGCTTTGATATCTACTGATGAAAAGAATAATATAAGGGCTGTATTATTATGCCTTCCCTCTTCTCTCTTGGGCCAGCAAGTCTACTTAATATGACTATCTTGCTTCCCGTCCTCCTCCCGTGCACGGTAATGAATTGCTCCCCTTAGTCAGCAGAGTCAGGTGCTCTCTAGGCTGGCGGGGCGAGGGAAAAGATGGAGGAAAAATCACTCTGTGCCACACTCACTTTGTAATCCCTAATCAGAGTCCTCTGTGGGAAAAACTAATTTCCCAGCCTGTCTTGACGTGTGAAATAAAGTCATTCTTGAAAACGGGAGCTTGACAGGTTGCTTGTGAAATTTCATATTCAACTAAAAATAAAATATCCATCCATTGATATTTCATTTAAAGGCAAAGGAAAACAAATCTTTTGCCTGGTTGTTGGGACTGTTTCCCATTAGCTATGTCCTTCCAAGTGGAGTGTATACAGAAATTAAGCAAAAGTTTTTCAGGAGACCAAATAATACTCCACGGCATCAGGGTAAGTTGCTTCTCCCTAGAACAATATTCATAGGAAAAGTTTTGTGAAGATATTTCCTTGCAGAATATATGCCTGAATTTTCTTTTCCTGTCAGCCCTATAAGTCTCCTCTGACTCAGTAGGTTACCGATCTCTACAGATGGTTAGACATCTTTTTCTTGCAAAACTGATGAATTTGGGCCTAATTCGCCAAAGCCATTAAATCATGTTTCACTTTAAGCTTAGTGAATGTCCTATTGGAGGTAAGCATACACCTAAGTACCTTACTGCAAGGGTGTTTCTCTCATACAGGTGGACTTTTATATCTTGGTTACCTCAAATGGAGCCAGTTAAAAGTTCTGGGCCAAAAATATTTAAAAAAGGTTTGTTACATTAAAGTTCCAGTGACTAAAACTCTTCAGTATAAGAGATCTGAATGTGCAGATCCTATTAAGTACCTTTCAAAATGTCAGCCGTGCACACCAGCTAAGACGCTTAAATGAAGAGGTGCTGCTGGACACTTCTCATTTGGGCAATCAGACTACCTTCCTAAGTGTCATCACGTGAATGGGGTTGCTTGTGTTGGAAATTTTGCCTTAGCACACCCTTCGCGACTGCAAAGCAGAGCTGGGAGGATGCTGACCTTCAGCAAGCCATTCAGGGTAGTATTTCCACACAAGGATCCTTGATGTTAGGGCCCGAAAGCCAAAGGAGGATTTCTTTGCTTTGGGCTCTGTCACATCAGGCCATTTGGTATGATGCCTCCTAAGTTTGAAAACAAAACCAGATTTTTTGCAGGAAATGCCTGTGTAGCTCTACTGAAAATAGGGCTGCTGAATTAGCCAGTGGGGGCTTGACCCCAACCTGGGATTTTAGACAAGCAAAAAAGAAACTACTGTCCAATTAAAACTGTAGAGCAGAGGGAATTTTAGCTAGGTAGAAATGTAATTACCCATGCTGGAAGATGGCCAGAAGACCAGGACTAACATCCTTCCCCTCCTGTGAAATAAGCTATGTTTTTCTGTACTCAGGGCTTCAAT